TCAGAGGTCCTCACTTGTGACACTTGGAATTCTGATGCTTTGCCATGCTGCCATGCTCAGTAAATTTTTATTAAATTGAAATGAGGTGGTTTTGTTTACAGAAAATTTTAGGCGATTACAAAATAGGCCAACCTAGACAGCAGTATAATTGATTATAAAGTTGGCCACTATTTCTCAAGTGCCTACCTTGTGCCAGGCTCTTCCATGATAAGTCATATGGGAATAAAAGTGGCCTAGAACAAGAGCATTTCCTCAAAGCATAGTTGGCAGACTTACTGGATCAACGCCTACCAGATATTTCCAAAGACAAGATTGTCTTTTCAATACATTTAAATGTTTTATCATTCCATCAACTTACTTTTGATAGTTTCTCATGAAAAAATTAAAATGAATTCCATAGCATAAATTTATTGATAGTTAGCCTATTCTTTCCATAAGTATAGAAAAATGAATGTTCCACATAAGGGTGCTCACTTTGTGATAATAAAAAGAGATGTCTCCCCCAAATTTAGCCAAAAGCCCAAACTATTTCCTTCAGTAGGTATCAAGTGAAGTTAATGGGCAATGTTTCTAAACCACAGCCTGGGTAACTGGTTCTGTTGTGCTCCTGTTCCACCTCAGAGTCTAACACATCTTCTTCTCACAACAGACCAGAGTGGGCCCCAGATAGATTAAGGGAGTGCTGGGAACCTCACAACTACTACATGAAGCACCAGAAAGTCTAAACACACTTCCATTCTTAGTCAATAAGGCTGACGGACTGGGGGCAGGGACAGTGTCTCATTTCACCTGGGTGTCCCCACAGCTGCTAACATCTTGCCTTGTACCTAGAATATCCTAAATTAATATCTGTTGAGATTACGGGAGAGTGCAGCACTGGGAGCGCAGCAGCGCTCCCGCCACAGGTTCGGATCCTACATAGGGATGGCCGGTGCGCTCACTGGCTGAGCGCGGTGTGACTGATCTCAAAAAGGACAAAAAAAAAAAAAAGAATGTTCTCTTTTGTCACATTTAGAACAGTTTAGGGAGTTTAATATAACAACCGCAAAAAACCCAGAATGTAATCTGACTGATAATCACCAGTAGCTAGTGCTTGTTGAATTCATGTTTGCACCAGCCATCAGTTTGAAATTTAGGTGCATCGTCATTTCCAATCCTTACAATAGCTTTGTGGTGCCAAACATAGTGTTCCCATTTTACACACGAGGCAGCAAGGCTTTGGTCCTGGAAATAGAGAAGCAGCTTTCTGGGCAACCAGTGAGACTCTGCCTGACCTTCCATCTATCAGTCTCAAAGGTCACTTGTAGTCACTTCAAAATCAAAAAGAGAAAGGCAAGAATCGGTATTTGTCTTCAGTAGTTCCTACATTCTGGTTCTTACATAGTCAAAAGGAGCTGCCTTCATTTCTCATCTCCCACACTCATTTCTCATCTCCCACAAATTCACTTTAATTTGTGCACGAAGCCTAACAGCACCTCTCTCTAGAAACACCTTATGTGATTTTTCTTTCAGGAAGAAAAGGTGGGGAAAGGACAGTTGTCATAAAACATTTCAAGAGAGTAAATAGAGCTAGTTCATTTGCATTAGCTAATTAGAAAAAAAGATTATTCTGATTGTTCTCTTGTGTCTTTTTTTCTCTCACTATACTTCCTACTTGCTCTCTAATGTGGAAATCAGAAATTATTTGTTTAGTGTATGCCTAAAAATGAAAGACTAAAATAATGCCTAAAATAATATTTGCCAGTAAATCTAAGCCCTTAAATTTAGTCCTCTGAAATGAGATGAAACCTGTGCAGGCTACTGATGGAATGAAATACAGAAGGGGAATTCAAAGTTGCCTACTAGCAAAGGAAAGAATGTATCACTGGAGCTGTTAAGATAAGCTCAGGGAATGCTTCTAATCCCACTGCTGACACCATACCTGTGCATGTCCACATATGTTAGAATATTTATTTTTCATAAACTCCCTTTGAGAAATATTTCCTGAGAGAAAATAGAAATGTTTGAATATATTTGCTAAAAATAATCCCAGTTTTTGCAGTTGAGTTTGAAATATTTTAAAACTTTTTTCTTTTTTGTAAAGAATAAGATTTAAGTGCATTATTTAAACTGAATACAAAGGCAATTTTTCTTCTTTTATTTAGAAATTTTCACAGCATTTACTCCATATAGGAATGCTTTGTTATATGTTTTTGTGTAGGACTCAGAGTCTAAGCCAATAATAGTTGCAATTTCAAACTTATTACTAGAAGTGTGAGAACAGTTAGTATAATTTTAGTTTTTCCTGCATCTTAGGGATGGAGCAGATTTGTAGATGGAGAATCATTAAATAATGGAGTGATTTTTCCAAAAGGTACGCAAAGGCTGGCATCTAGTTCTTTCCTTCATCTCCTTTGTCTTACCTCACTAAAAGCTCTTAGTATAACCAATTCCCAGCTTTGAGATATATTTATATTGAATTTGGTTCAGTGGATTGAACTGACTGTGTAGATCATTTTGTTGCATTAATGTGCTGTTTTTCTGCACATCGTGGTGATATTGGTCCTCGTAGGATTTGATCAGTTGGTTTCCATTTGGAAGGGTTGTCCCCAGCTGAAATTAAGTAATGCGTTTGCATTTCTCTCTTGATTCTTTATCTCAACACATTGCTGGCCTCCTCTCAAATATTGCAATAAGAGGCCTCAAAAGTTTGTCCTCTGCAGCAAGACATCAACTTGACATCTATTTCATGGTTCAAAACAAAGTCTTTGGCCTAATTTTTGTGATTGGTTTTTTTTTTTTTTTTTTGTATCTGGATTATGGCTACTTAAGTACTGTTGGTTTAATTCAGGTGGTAGTCTTTGCTAAATATGTCAGATACGACCTGGTTTTTAACAGAGAACATACAGAGGTGCTCAACCCTGGTCATGCTATATCACTATTCTCCTTAAAGAGTTCTGTTCCTTGCTTGAGTTGTTTTCTGTTTGAGTTAGAGCATATGGTAGAGATATAAAACATAGAAGAACATTCTGTACATCTAGGAAAGATGCGGTGTATTTTTTTTATACTATTAAGGCACAAATTTCCCATCTTACTGTGAACCATTTTTGTTTTTCATCAAAGAGGTGATGTTGGTATGGTTTTGCAGTTAAAAGCACAGGAATCAAATCTTGTGAATTCAATTCCTGGCTTACTGTATAACTATACAGTAATTGTGTGTAACTACAGTCAAGTGCTTTTCTCCTTTTTCTTGTCTGGGAAATTGTGTACAGGATAAAACTTCTCCCTTTTTAGAAGTACCAGTATCTATGTGGAAAGATCCTGAGTCCTGAGGAGCAGATATTATCACTATGAAACAGAAAATTACAATATTATTCACAGAATGCCCTAATATTTATATTAAACATAAAAGCAAATAATTATCTAATAATTCTATTCAACAGACCAAAAAAAATCTAGTGTCTGTGATAATAATGCCTTACTGCCTTCATTTAAATCCAAAGATCATGACTTCCAATACTTTCTTTTTCAAGCAGTGCTTCCTAATATAAAATAGTGCTAGGAGCTTTCTTTACCTAGAGTAATACATTTCAGCTGGTTTCAGTAAAGAATTACTATTTTTTCTTTTAATCTGTGATAGAAAGGGTAAATATATTCTGATCTATGGCCTTACTAAAAAAAAGAAAAAATGCTGTGTTTTNCACAGAATGCCCTAATATTTATATTAAACATAAAAGCAAATAATTATCTAATAATTCTATTCAACAGACCAAAAAAAATCTAGTGTCTGTGATAATAATGCCTTACTGCCTTCATTTAAATCCAAAGATCATGACTTTCAATACTTTCTTTTTCAAGCAGTGCTTCCTAATATAAAATAGTGCTAGGAGCTTTCTTTACCTAGAGTAATACATTTCAGCTGGTTTCAGTAAAGAATTACTATTTTTTCTTTTAATCTGTGATAGAAAGGGTAAATATATTCTGATCTATGGCCTTACTAAAAAAAAGAAAAAATGCTGTGTTTTGTGCTAGGAGCTTTCTTTACCTAGAGTAATACATTTCAGCTGGTTTCAGTAAAGAATTACTACCATTTTTCTTTTAATCTGTGATAGAAAGGGTAAATATATTCTGATCTATGGCCTTACTAAAAAAAAGAAAAAATGCTGTGTTTTCATTTTCATTATGCTTTTTAACACCCAGTGGACATATTCAGTAAATTTGAGGCTTGCTGCAGACTTGGAATTAATTTTTGTTGCATGTTAAACTAATTGGGTTGAATATTTTCTATGTGCTTTTGTTCCACTCCACATAGAAATTGTAGATTATTCATCTCAAATGAATTAATTTTAAATTATTTAAACTTTGCACTGCTAGCGTATGACCCTCTGAGACTATTTCTAAAGAACAGACAGCTCTTTTCCTCCTAGATGTTACAAATTTAATTTGTTTTGGATGCAAATGTCATTTATCTTGTATTTAATATATATATATATATGTGTTTATGTTGTTCATTATATTTTGACAGGTTTTCAAATTATTTCTACTTTTCTTTAAACAAGCATATTTGGAAATTGTGATAGCTCAAGAAGATATAGCTTGTGCCTTTTATATCTTGATGGATAAACACTAACTGTCTCACCACGTAGTTTAAATGACTAAGTGTAATCTTCCTGGTTCGACTCATAACGTCTGTCCTAGAACAAATTTTTGTTTTCTTTTCAAGTACTCTAAAGTTTCAAATACCTTTTTTCTTATTTTACTCAGCAACAATCTGCAACTTATTTTTTTCCAGGAAAACTGAATCTGTTACTGCTTAGTATTCCTACCAGTTTGAAAAATGTGGTTTATATTGGCATCAGAGCAGTAATTTACATATATTGGGCTAACAAGAATGCATGCCAGAAAAAGATCAACATAAAATGAAATGCAGAAAAGCTGTTTTCCTTCAACAGCAACTGAGAGTAAAGTTAATAGAGAAATTGATGAGCATCTTCCCTGAATGTGTCACTTGTTTCTTGTAGGTGAAGTGTGACCAGTACTGGCCCAGCAGAGGCACAGAAACCCATGGCCTGGTCCAAGTGACACTGCTGGATACCGTGGAGCTGGCCACATATTGTGTTCGAACATTTGCACTTTACAAGGTTTGCTTCTTATTTATTTTTTCCCTTTCTTTCCCCCTCTCTGTTATTTAAAGAAAGCTTCCTTTGAGAAATGAAATCTCTTAAGGCTTTACTTAAATCTTGATCCCACTGGCAACAGTGAAGAATGAAATAATTCTTCCATTATCACTCAGCAATTTTTCTCCTTGTCTGGCGATTTATCAGTAAATATGAAACTCTTGCTCTGAACCAAAGTTTCAGTGAATGAAGAATAGATGAAGAAGAACTAGTTCTTTGTGTGAAATATAACAGGAGCGCTCCTGATAGTTAAACCTGAAAAATGCAATGCTTCTCACCAAAGAATTTTATCTTCCTGAGCAAATATTTGTCATTTAGGAACAGCTTGGGGTTTATGTCTCCCAAGAGTGCGTCTTCCCAAAGGATTATAGGGTGGGATAAAGAAATTAAGATAACACATTTTAGAGTTACCTCTTTTCTGTTATTCATCATTATCCTCTGAGGCTGAGAAAATGGAGTTTCAGCCAATGGTCCTATTTTACAGAATGGTTCGAGTGAGAAGAGAGAAGTGAGACAATTCCAGTTCACTGCCTGGCCTGATCACGGTGTTCCAGAACACCCCACACCTTTTCTGGCTTTCCTACGGAGAGTCAAAACCTGTAACCCTCCTGATGCAGGTCCGATGGTTGTGCACTGCAGGTAAGGACCACCAAGAGCATTTATTTTACTTATAGTCAGAAAGCTTTTGGGGAGACAGCTAAATTGTTCCTCATTGGCTGTTCTTTTTGCAATTTGTTGATACTCTGGCATAGTAAATACCTCCATATACAAACAGATCTCTTTAAGTCAAATGAGACCTATATTAACATTAATAGGAAGGATTTGATATAGATGCATATTCTACCTAGAAACAGTAGGCCCCTATGTTCCATTGCTGTTTTTTCTTTGGAGTGAAAATAAATAGATAAACACAAAATGAAGTGTGCACAGGTCACAAATATATAAAACAGAAAATAATAAAGAATTAACTTTGTGATTAGGGTCAACTTTCACCTCCTAGGTGGAGGGAATATTCTTTAAAACATGTTTATATGAATCATTTGACAGGTTCTTGTGGGCTGGACTGGAAATACAACCTTTTCATTATTTATATGGAAAAAATTGCTGAAAAAAATAATGTTGTATCATACAAGCTATCAGGGAGAATTATTATTGCTTAAAGTTATCTTTCGCATATTGATAGTATCAAGTCATATATAACAAATACACTAATTTGATTTTTTAAAAATTATTTAGTAAAATATATACAAAGACCTATAATTTGGAAGAATTTATTTTGTGTACTTGGAGATAATGAGCCTGCATTTCTCCTGAAATGTTTAATTTATATTTTTTACTTAATTCTGAGTAACATCCCCCACACCACCACTTAGAATCTACAATATATGTGTTCATACATTGTTTAATATTAAACTGATTTTTTTCCAGTTGCCTGAGTTCTTCTCAAGTATCATTACTAATAGACTACTCAAGATATCTAGTCGAATCCTATTCATTACTACTTATTACTATAGAAATGTATAGTTCATATAACATCATAATAGTTCTTTATAACCTGAGTAATTCAGATATGAGAAAACATGGGCTTCTTGCACAGTTAAGTAAAACTGAAGTGTACAATTATATAAAGATGAAATCATCTGTCATAAGCCACTTCTATCATGACTTAAAGCATAACTCTCTTTCATATCCCATATTGTACTACAGGGTTTGGTTCGAGAACTGATAGCTAAGAAGGTGGTAGTAAAGTCAGCCTCATGCTTTGGTATCTACTTCTTATTCCCTGATACCCAGGACAGGGGTTTTTGAGGACTAGCCACTTGGTCACAGTTTTCTGCATGATTGTGAAATACTAGAAATTATTAATTTGAGCAAACTCTTTTGCATCATGAGAGCAGATTTCTGGTTCTCCCTCTTGTTGGTTTCAGATCAGGCACTAGTCTGATCAGTCTGTATGTTCTGGTACACATACACACTTCTTTGCAGGCCTGAAAGAGCTAGTGCACCCTGTTATATGTTGCTCCCTGCTTGGCAAGAGCTGAACATGATCATGAAGATCACACATGAAACAGGAAATGTTTTCAGATGGAGTTTGGCCAAAGGATAAATAAAACAGGAAATTTGGCCTCACAGAAGAAATGTTGCCCTCATATGCCTAATGGTAAAAATGCAGTTTACACACGCACACACGCACACGTACTTGTATATTTAAAATAATAGAAACAAAAATTAGGAAAACCAACTTGGAAATTTTCATTGAAAAACAGCATTGTGGTGCAGTATTGTTATCGCGTTTTGAAATATAGCATCTTCCCTTTCTCTAAATGTGCTTCCCATTTCTGTAAAAAAGTGGAGGCTCTGGAAAACTAAAATAGACCGACAGACAGATCATTTTTAAAATGCAGTTTGCCCCCTATAGATCATGTTAAAGTGTAGGCTTTATGCAAGGCCCTATGAAGGATCCAAAACAGTTTGCAAGCAAGTCAGAGAGAGAAGATAAATAGCTGTAATGCCTTATTTTGAGAAAATACCTAAAACACACCCACCCATGTTATGTTAAGTCACCTGGTCTCATCTCAGCAATTCGGGCTACACAGGAGAAATAAGGAAATACAGATGAATGTGCAGAGCTAATAGCTGCTGACATTTGGAAGTGCTGTGCCCGAGGCCCTCGAGATGCTGTGTATTGAAACAAACGGCAGAAGAGTAGGCATATTGGTGGAAAAAATTTGTTAGCAACTTCAGAACAATGAAGGAAAGATACAGCGTAAATGAAGCTCTGTGAAATAATCCGTGTTCACCCATAGGTAATTTCACTATCTGGTAAGAGACCTTGGCCTCTTGTTTAGGAGAGGCCATGTCAACATTATCAATATCCAACCCATTGTGAATCCTTCCTAGACCTAACTACAATTATGTTAAAACTTGAGAGCATAATTTTTTGTGACAGAACAGCAAATTAAAGTCATTCTAGATAAGCTACTCATGTGGTATCCCAGAAATGCTAGCTTAAAAACCATCTCTAAGCAGGAAGGGAACTATGCAAAAAGCCACAAGAGCCAAGTCACAAAGGGATACTGATCACAGTTAACCATAATCATGTTACAATCACAAAAAGAATCTGGAATGCAAGTGCTATATTTTATGTTGTGATTTCTCTTATGATATACTTGGATTTTTTTTCCTCTGTAATAAAGAAGAAGCGACAAACTCAAAGTAAACCCAAACCTTCTTGCCAAACAGATCCTGTGAGAATAGAGGAGGTTTTAAGAGAAGTCGGGAAGGAGCCAAGATAGAAGAGGGGAGCAGGGCAGAAAAAAAATTTCATGCTTCTCCAGTGGTTCTGTCTAGTAATAAATGTGCTAGGACTAAAAAGAGCCATTAAATAAAAGAAATTCTAACAATGAGTAATAAGAAAGAGTTATAGGGTTATATGCTCTGGCACAGGCAAGACCTTGGAAGGTCAAGGAGAGAAGGATAGAGTCTACCACGTTCCTGAAAGAGAGAATGTCTGATTCAACAGGTGAAAAAGGAAAGACCAATTCTAGCCATCGGTCAGTCCATACAGAACATAACGTTTCAGCGTTGGGAGTGCCCACTCCGGAGAGTGCCTGTGCAAAATGTTGGCTCAGTTTCTAGCTTGTGTCTTTGAGAAAATTATTTAATCTCTGTAAAATTATTCACCTGTAAAATGGGGTAACACTATTCATAATAAAAAGAATTTTATGAAAATTAAATGATATGAAGTGATACACATAAAATACTTAGGACAGTACACAGTATGTAGAAGTATGTAGTCATATTAAATTTTTAGCAATTGTTCATTACTGAGTGACTTTTAAGAGATACATGTATATTTAAAACTCTAAGAAGAAAATTCATCATGAACTTGGATATCATCACCATGACCTAAGCCATCCATCTTATTAAAGAACCAGATGTTTATAAATATCCAAATAGTTAGTTGAATTGATTTTTTTTTTAATTTAAGTATTTTCCATCATGGTAATTTCATCATACTTTTTTCCCTGTGACAGAGAGCATTTTAATGCTGTGAGTTAGGGAGAAACGTTTGTAATAATGTCTGTTTTGATAAAGACCATTGAAATCTTAAACTCTGCTATTAAGGACTCATGAGACTTAATGTTGTGGTTCTTGATGCCTTTAAGATAAAGTCTGACCTTGTCGTTGTGGTTAGGGCCCTTTATAATTTACGCCCTACTCTTATCTCGCCTTTCTTGCCTCGTTGTTCACTCTTTGGGCCATCTACTGCTAGCTGCACATTCCAAGTGTCTTCATCTCTGGCTCTTATCAAACGATGCTTATCTGGTCTAGAATTTCAACTATTCCCCTTTTCTACCTGATGACGTTCAACCCTGTTTCAACATCCAACTTGAACAGTACTTTCTATGTGTACTGCAAAGGTTGTGAACTGGCTTCAGAAGGTTTTGTTGATAAATGTGGTAATTTTCTAAAAAATTTGACCAAGAATTCCTTTAAGCTGGAATACACTATCCAGTTTTCCAAACTCTCCCCATTCCCCATTGTTTTGTACACACCTCAATTCATCCATTTGTGGAATTGCTTCATCTTGTAGGCATTTGAGTTGTAACCTCGGAGAAAAGTTTTAAGCTCATTCCCCATTCTTCTTCCTACAGGAAGAATTAAACACTCTATTATCTGACCTCTCACAAAATAGGTTCACACTTAGCATATTTAGCTGTATGCATGCAGATCATATGAGCCTTGAGATCTTAGAGGGTATGTGCTATGGCTTATATACATTAGCACCTCAGTTTTTACATCATAGTAGTTGCTCAATAATTGCTTGTTTAAGTCAGTTGAATTTCACATGGTGTTTTAGTAATTTTTGCAGAAATAATATAGTTTCAAGACTGGGCTATTTATTTTTGTTTTTCAACATAAACTATACTTTTATCTCTTTATAATAGGAGATTTCTGTATGAGAGCTTAATTATTTAAAATTACCTTTGCCTTATTTATACCTATTTCTGAGTTGCTTTTTTTTTTTTTTCCTACTTTACCTTTTATGTTCTTTCCCACATGCAGTTTATCCCATGATGAGTAAGTAGTTCTCTGTTTTTTAGTCATGGTAATAGTTAAGGATAGTTGATCCCTTATTCAACATAAAATAATCTTTCTTGTCAACTGGAGAGGCCCTTTTCTACGTGCTTTACCTGTGTTACTGCTTTTTCTTCCTTAATGTCTTTTCAAGTAGGAACCTCTTTTCTAATTTCACAAAAGAAAAAACAGAGGCTAACAAAAGTCAATTTACTTGCCTGAGCTGATGCCACTAATGGTGCAAAGCCATTACGTGCCCCACATTGCCTGGCCCTATAAACCAAGCAAATGATCTCAAGTCCTTCAATCTCTTGGGGGTTCTCAGCTCCCCCTTCTGCTGCCACTTGGAGGGTTTTGTACTGTCAAGTTTTCCCTGACAGCTCAGTCAGAATGAACTACTTTTTCCTTCTGACTCCACATCATATTGCCATTCTGGCCTTTCGTTCACTCTTTCTATATTGAAGGCAATGGCTAGCATATGAGTCTATTCTACTCCTTAATCATTTTAAACTGAAATAATCACAATATCTACCAATTACTGAGCCACTGATATTTTT